GAGAGAGAGAGAGAGAGAGAGAGAGAGAGAGAGAGAGAGAGAGAGAGAGACGATAACTCTCCGACCTCGCGGCTCGCGCCATGCTACTTCCATCGATAGGATGAGCAACATCCAATGAATCTTCGGCTAGAACATGGAATTCCAACCGTTGAACATCCCTTTCCTTCGCACAACGGCTGCCCGCCGCCCGCTACCCAACGAAAAAATGACGGGGAAACGCACTTGCACGACAAAAAAAAAATTGCACCGGGCGACACCCTTCCAACCGCCACACAACAGCCCAAAAAAAACCGCGCTCTGAAACGCTTCTACCATGCGGCGACACCCTTCGAACCGGTGCACGGCAGACCCAAAAAAACCCCTCCGATTTCGCGAAGTTCCTGTTGGGTCCGCGCCTTGCCCAACTCTTTCCCAACACAGACAGACCGGCTGCGGGACAGCGTCACGCGAGACCCGCTCTTCCCTTTATAAAGAGTATAGAAAAAGAGGTTGCTGATCAGTGTTCCATGCAACCCAATCTGTCAGAGTCAGGCCTCATTGAGGCCTCATTGAGGCTTATGAGGCCTCGTTGCGGCCTCATTTAGGCTTATGCATCCTATCTGTCAGAGTCAGGCGTCATGGAGGGTTATCTAGCTAGGCCTTATTGACAGCAATGTCGGAGGCAGTGAGACCCATTGAGGCTTATGAGGCCTCATTGCGGCCTCATTTAGGCTTATGCATCCTATCTGTCAGAGTCAGGTGTCACGGAGGATTATCTAGCTAGGCTTTATTGACAGCAATGTCGGAGGCGGCGGGAACGAAGATGGTGATGATGCCGGGTGGTGAGGATTTCGACAATAACGATGATGCTGGCGATGATTATAATAACAACAACAACGATTCGTGATGATTTCCCTTTTTTCTTTTCTTCTGTTTTTTTGTTTGTGGCCCGGTGGACCACCGATCTGATATTAAATTGACCAGAACAGATACTACACTTAATCTTAGCCAAAAGGCGGAGAAAAGTCTAATCATGATAATAATCAGATAAGTTGAATTATGAAGACGGAGAAGAAGAGGAAGAAAGTGATGATGATGATGATGATGATGATGAAGAGGAGGAGGAGGAGGGGGAGGAGGAAGAGGAGGATCCACTTGCAGAATAATTATGGCGAAGATGATGACAGTGATGCACCTTTGTAATGATGATGATGATATGATGATGACGAGGATGATAATGATGTCCCAATGCCTACTTCATGTGATGGTACAACCGCTGATGATGATGATGATGATGATGATGATGAGGCGATCCCTCCTTTCTTTTCGCTCACCATGGTGCAGTGGGCATCTCTTGGGGCGCCCTCTGGGGCATGAGGCCTTTTCAATTTGTACTGGACGTTCTTGGAACTCGGCTGCGTGATCCGTCTGGCCAGATTGCCTTGGACGCCCGTTGCCGCCCTCCTCCCCCCGAACTTCCACCACTGCCTCCCCCCCCTCCTCTCCCCGCAACCTCCAGGCGAGCCCAGGCCTGGGCAGTTAGATAACCGAGGTCAGCAGTTTATTGCTGTATGTCGGTGTTTGCTTTGCTCAATAAGTGCGTTTTTGAATGCTTTTTCAACATTTTCTGAGTGTTGACCATTGTGTTAAGCTTGTTGTCACGGGTATAGGTTTTGTGCGTATTTGTCAGCATCACTTGCTTTCCTGGGAGCACGTAGACCAACATCCTGCCGGTGCAATTTGTAGGAGAAATCAGAGCAGTGGCAGACAACAGATGCCGTGGTCTATGTCTCTCTGCCACACTGTGTGTGTGTGTTGGCTCTGTGATCTCGAACAACTACTCCGTGCCCCACGAAAAAAAAAGAGCGACTTTGCATGCATCCGACACTTTCGGGGGCACCGTCCCAAAATGGCTGGTGCCGCCAGCCAGAAAGAGAAGAAATCACGTCCGTGCCAGTTTGTTTTTTCTGGTGCGCACGCCGCGCAGCATGATTTCAGATCAATGAAAAACAGCCTCGCAGGTAGTGGTCGTTTAAATAGAAAATCTGTATCATGAAATGAGCCAAGTACTCGTCAAGCTCAACCCCGCATACATCAATGAACATTCACAGGAGAGCTCACACGTGAGAAGCCAAATGGCCCAAATCGAGATACAGTCAACAGTTGAAGATGTCGTCTTCAATATTATTATCAATATACGAGAATGTTCGTCTCCAGTGGCTCTGCCTCACACACACACACACACACACAACAGATCCCAACCAGGCGGCGGCTATGGCTTCTCTCTCTTCGTTCTCATTTTGTTCTCTCTCCCTTGTCTTGCTTTTCTCTATAACTTGGCTCGCTCCGCCTCACTCTTTCTCTCTCACTAACCTAGATCGTCACCCTGGAGACACCCAGTCAGGTAGCTTACACCTTGGGGCTATGGCCGCCGTCCTCCTGCTCTATCTTTAGCCTAGCTATGGAGTAACGCCCAAGTGCCCTCTTCTTCTTCAGGGGCGCAGTGCCCAAGTTGCCTGACCGCACTAGCAGCCTGAGTGCTTCCCCGCCTCGCACAAGTGATCAGCCGCTGCACTGTAGCAGCTAAATATAGGACTTGGCCTGGCTTGGCTTGGCTTGGCTTGGCCTGCTTCAGACCGGTACCAGTCAGCCGCGGCCCGTCTGCTGCAAACATTTTGTCGGTCCGGTAGCTTCCGGACTTTCCTGGGACAAGCTGCAAAATTGGACTTGAGACTGTCGGACTGGATTGGACTCATCCGGACTTTTCTTGTCGGGTACCGGACGACTCCTACCGACCTATGACGCTTCGGTACCGACACCTACGACCTATGACGTCTCGGACTACAGACCCTACGTCCTACCCTACTGGGACAGCCTGGGACTGGGTTACTTCGGGACTCTAGGACCGGGACTGGGGTGTCTGTAGCATGAATCCTTTCACTCCCACCGGCCTAATTTCGAGGTCCTCCGAGAAAAATCTCATGTTTATCTATCATACACATTCATTCCTCTCCGGGCCCTCTCAATCACATGTGCGATGCCTTGCTTGTTCATGTCTATGCCCTTTTGTGTCCTGTTTGCTATCGGTTTTGAATCAGACACACTGTTCAACCATCTAGAGAAGACAGATGGTTAAAGGAGGCCTGGAGTTTCAGAAAATAATACATTTATAAGAAAACCCAAAGGCCCTTTTAACCAAATTTGGAAAACTGAAACCTTGAACTAAGACAAAAACAGGCATTAAAAAAAAGAAAAAGATATAAAAATCATCGGATTTGGATCATTTGACCCCCAAACCTAGGCTGTTTTTCCGGCGCCCGGGCACCCAACTAGAATTCCTCATGGAATCGGAGATCAAAAAGAAAATAACAGAATCACACTAGGGCACCCCCTTTTAAACCCCTTTAGCCCCTTAAAACCAATTTATAMCCCCCCCCCCCCCCCCCCCYTRAAARCCAAMWCRMAAAAAAARAAAWRARCCCGGATTTGGGGTTCTCTGGGAGAGCGCAGAAAACGAAAAAAAAAAAAAAAAAACTCTTTTTCTTTTTTGTTTGCACGCCCGGGTGACCAGCCGGGCATGAAAATCTTCCTAGCCCCAAACCCTAATTTCAGTTTTGGACCCCTTACCCAAGAGCTGAAAGGGGGGGTCGTCGCTACCCACTTGTGCTATAGCACATTCCAGGGCTTAATCTCTTGTAGCATTGTACTGGAATACTTAGCAAAGTTTGCGATTTTCATGTGCCTTATGGGAATTCTTGCTGTTTTGGAGTGCCTATTTGGCTTGTGGAAAAGCGCACCCTCGACGGAATCATTTGCCAGGTCGTAGAAACACTTCTCTTTAATGCTGTTGTATGAGCTGCCAAGGCAATTCAGTGCTGGAAGCGTTGTCCGCCGCCATTTTTTGATGTTCGAAATAGGATAAGAAAATATGACTGCAGACATGGAGTGTCTGATTGTAGGACAAATCTACATGTGGCAACTACCTTCTTTCCCCGAATACAACGTACGGTCCATTATAGCTGTATTTAGACTGAAAGATACCCCAAATTCAGCTATCATGACTGTACGATGTATTTGGCGGAAGACTGTAGGTTTCTGGAAATTCGTTCCTATATAGTATATACTCTCTCATGGGCATTGTTTCTTGGCCACCGCTGTGTTGGGTGACAGGATGTTGGACGTTGAGGATGTGGAACGTCTTATGGCACTTCCAGAAGTTGCTAAATCTGTTGAGGAAGCAATTAATAGAGCAAAGAACATGGCTTCCAAAAAGCCTGCAAATGGCCCAAGGCGGACGCTTCTTGGAATTCCGACTCACCTTTGGGAAGAGGTCTCTCTCTCCACCTAGTCCCCCTAGCTGCTCCTTGCTGTACTGTGTACCCTCACGCTCCCAGCAACATGCAATGCTTCTCTCTCTCTCTCTCATGTGCGCACTCTCTCTCTCTCTCTCATGTGCGCACTCTCTCTCTCTCTCTCTCTCTCTCTCTCTCTCTCTCTCTCTCTCTCTCTCTCTCTCTCTCTCTCTCTCTCTCTCTCTCTCCCAATATTCCATATGCATGTTTGAACATTTGCATGTCTACTGTGGACCCAAATATTGGAGATTCAGCACCGTACTGTTGGACTAGATTGGGACATTTCTGTTTTGTTTAGTAACAAGGAAAAGTGATTCAATGAGGCAGGGCAAAAGGATTCAGAGGAGAAGGCAGAGGTGGGGAAGTCATATATAAATAGCAGGCTGTCTTCGTTTCTTTTAGTATCTAAACTTCTTATGTCAATTGAAGTCAACTTATTCTATTTTTCTTTTAGTATGCAAATCAATTCAACTAAACTTATTCAATTGGTTTCCCATGGCGGGAACTTGTTCAATTGGTTTCCCACGGCGGGACACATCAGTGCGGGATGCTGTTGCTGATTGGAGACTTCGTTGTTGTTGTCGGGTCCTCTCCCTCAGTCTTTACTCCATGATGGAGTCTAGCTATATGCACAATGATGTCATCAGGGTCGTCTTTGCGGTGCATGTAGCTGGTAGCAAGATCTCTTTATTCCGGTGCAGAGTGCTGAGGGCTGCATGTTTCGCTTGCAGGTGAGAAGCAAGCTGAAAATATCACGGAAGCAGTTCCGGCGGTGCTGGGAAGTAGCCATGTATGTGCACACCAGTATGAAGGATTCCAAAATGAGGGAACCGTTTCGTCAGCTCGTGACTTCTCGTCTCAGGGCGGAGCACTTTGGAGTCAACCGGCCTTCAGAGAAGGTACGTAGAGCCGTCTGCTCGCGATTCATAAAATTATTTCATTCCGTTCACCCTGATTGTATCTGTATTTGAACTTGGGGCTATACCTTAACAGTTCATGGGTGTACCTTAACAAGCTTTTTTTTTTTTTTTTTTTTTTAAGCAAGCATATATTGTATACGCTGGCTGGCAAAAGAACAGCATCAAAGAACAGACCAAATCTGGCTATGTTGGTTCGGACGATTGGCAATTTTGGTTGGCTGAAAAGCCAGCCTTCGTTCTTGAGGTTGAGGGTGCCAGTTCGAGGCCCTGCGTGCACAACGGGGCCTGATGCGCTAAACGCTCGTTGTTCAGTAACTACTGTGAAGGCGCCTGTGGAACCCGCGGGCAGTTGGTCTGCCTTGGAGTGACAAGGTTAAGTAGCGGTGGTGGTGGGGCTGAGTGTTGTCCGAGCGGAGTGTGTCGATTGCCGTGTCCGTGGTGTGGTGTTGTGTGTGTGTGGTGTGAGTTCAAGGATGCTACAGCCCTAGAGGTGGGCTGGACATCACGATCGGCATGGATCCAGTTTTTATAACACCTCCAAGGGGTGTAGTGGTTACGAGACTTCGTTCTGGATGCTGAGGGTGCCGATTCCAGGCCGTGCGTGCACGGCGGGGCCCGATGCCCTAAACGCACGTTGTTCAGTAACTACTACTGAAACGCCAGCGGTTCCTTCCGCCAAGGTCGAAGGGCCCCTGCTTAATTGTATAGTCGTGAAGAAAAAAGAAAAAAAAGGCTCGAAGGGACCCTGTTCAGCATTGATTGCTCCTGTGCAGGATTGCCCTCAGCCTCAGGAGACCCGAGACGGCCAGATAACCTGTTGCTTATTCAGATTCCACTCAGGCCCAGTACACTTGAGACTGCCAGAAAAGACATGACCACTAAAGATCCCTAAGGAGAAAGGTTCTATCGTCCTAATGGGGATCAGCTGCATCACTTATGTAGTATCCCCACTTGCTCTCTTATAACTTTTTTTTTTTTTTCCCCCTTATAGCTTTCCTATTGTGTCCTGCTGTAAGAACCATCCTCTTGCTAAGACCTAAGGCCTTAATCTTGTGCCATGTGCATCCTGGTATTTTGCTTTTATTTTTTTATTTTTTTTTCTGAAAACAAGTGCTCCAGCCTATTCGTGGGGAGCAGCACGTGCTGGGAACCGGGCCCAGCGTCCCATATCGAATTGTACAGATCATTGATAACATTTGAGATCATTTGAGATACTGGGGCCATTACCCGGCTTCGGCTGAGAACAGTCTGTGAATACGATGTGATTCAGAAAGCATGGGGAGGATCATCCATATCTAATGACCTATTAATGAACTACGCATGCAATAGGTTGCCACAGAGGTCCTACGAATGCTCACAACCCTCAGGATCCCTAACCAGCCCATCTAAGACTTTCCAACACAGTCTTACTCCCTGCTGAGCTCTTCCAGGCCTCACGCCCCCACCCTGCTGGGTTACAGGGCARCACAACTCGCCCCAGCTCCGACCAGCGTCGTCCCAGCAGCAACCCTTGGTTGTCCCTTGGGATGCCCACCCCAAAGCATCCCCACCAGCACCGGCCAGCGTCGTTCTGGCATCGAACAGCCGCAGATCACTGAGTATAACAGCATCGAAACCGCCTAAGATGGGTTGCTAAGAATCCCTAAAGTCCTGGTATTTTTGCTACCCGAATATGGCTGCAGTTGGGCCCAGATACCTACATTCAGAAAGCTCTGAGTATTGCATGAGTGTGTGCTGATGCCGCTAAGTGTTTGCTATTAGTCTCATGGAATGAACCACATAATGTTTTTTATTTTTATTTTCCGTTTTAATAACGGAAAGACAAATCTGCATTATAGGGAGAGCTTGCTCTTTCTGATTTAGAATGCTCTTTCTTTTTCCCTTTTGTGATTTCCATTTGCAAATCTTGTTCATGCTTTTTACGGTTGTTGGTTCTGTTTACGCTGTTCGCAGGATAAACGGAAGAGGACTGTTGTGACAGGGATGCATGAGGACTTACCTATGTTTTTCATGATGAGCGCCCCGAAGCGAAGGCGACTGTCGACGGACCGTACAGAAAATGGTGAGTATTTTCAACTATTTTGATTCTGGGTTTTATGAACTTCTGTCAGATTTGGATGATCTGGAAACCTGAATGGTTCAAGGTTGGTGATATGGAACTACAACGGTCTTGACCCGAATAAGCGCTACGCGCTGCATAGAGTAGAGTAGAGACGATGGCAGCTTAGTTAAGGACAGAGAAGAGTGCATTGAGCCGCACTGCTCGTCACCTTGAGCACACACACACACACATCGAGAGATCACACGAAATCCACAGTGGAGACCAGAGGTGCAAAGTACAGATTAGCGCAGCTTTTAGAGTTTCCAGTAAATTATCATATTATGATATTACACAGTTCCGGAGTTCCAGTCACCAAGCGCTTAACAGCGCAGAGTTCAGCATCCTCATCCAGGTAGGTGACTCTCTCTCTCTCTCTCTCTCTCTCTCTCTCTCTCTCTCTCTCTCTCTCTCTCTCTCTCTCTCTCTCTCTCTCTCTCTCT